TTTTTTTTTTTTTTTTTTTTTTTTTTTTTTTTTTTTTTTTTTTTTTTTTTTTTTTTTTTTTTGTCACTAGTGGAGCTTTTCTGGCTCCTCTGCCATGGAACCAGTTTTAATTTAAACATGATGGATGGTGTGATCAGAAAGTGACAAACCATACACAACTGCAGTTGCTTTGTTAGTTCTCAGAAAGTTACATGAATGCTGATGAAGCTCCCACCAGATTTATGTTTTAACTTTATGTGTGTATATTATTTGTTTTGTGAAATGGGGGCAGACGTTATGAGATTTTTTTCTTCTCTCTGCGCCTTTTCATTTAAGGATATTGTGGTTGTGTTGAAATTTGTTTTGTTTTTAATTAAATGAAAAAAAAAAAACATTCATTTTATAAACATTAAAATGATCTCCTACCTTCATTTACGCGTTTGTCATTTTGTTATTTTTTGCGCTGCTAGGACCTGCCGAACGCCATGAATGCTGCTGAGATCACAGACAAACTGGGTCTGCATTCCCTTCGTCACCGTAACTGGTATATCCAGGCCACATGTGCTACCAGTGGAGATGGGCTCTACGAGGGTCTGGACTGGCTTTCGAACCAGCTAAAGAACGCAAAATGATTCATCTCTCCCGGTCTGTCAGCTCTGTCTGCAGTGTTTATTTTTATTTTATTTTTTTGGGAGTCGGCACTGGTCCTGGTCTCACTCTCTCTTCACTCTTTCTTTTTCCTCTGAATTTTTATTTAATTTTTATTTTTTTGGACCAATGGCCAGTGCCGCTCTGCATCCGTGTACTGTATGTGTGTGTGTGTGTGTGTGTTTGGATAAGTATCTGTGAGCGTATGAATGAGTTAATGTGTGTTTGTGTCGAGCTAAGTGGGAGCAGCCCTGCTGTGCCTTGAACACAGTTAGCTCTCAGTCAACTCATTCCTCCAGCGTCAGCACATCCAGAGGCGCTGGGTTCCACCAAGAAAAACGCAACGCACCGTCCCGAGTGCTCTGTGTCTTCTCTAAAGAATGTTTAAGAGAAAAAAACCAAATGGCAACAATTCTTTCTTCTTTTTTTTAGGTACATTAAAGCATTTTGATATCAGTTTCCAACAATCAACTGTAATATCCTGCAGCAGTGTGTTAAATTATTAGTGTTGCTTTCTTTTCATGATCAAATAATTAAACCCTAAAAACAAGTGTGTTAAAAATATTGTAGATTCCTTATGATCATAGTTTCTGTGTTGATTTTTTTTATTCTGTTTAGTCACATTTTTGATGTTAAATATGGCTTTGAGTTTTTTCATCAGGTTCGAATCCTTATTTTTTGTTTTTAGTGTAATAGGTCAAAAGATCCCATGTGCTTGGATCTGGTAAAGGCAATAAATGTTGCGGTGCATGTTTACATATTTGGAGGAGTGGAACTATTGCATGGATTGCCGTTTCTGTCCTTAAGGSCTGTGTGGGCTTTAGCTTTTCATTCTAAGTTGCTCCCACTTCTGCTCTTTATTTACCGGTAGACTTGCTTTTCTCTTGTGAGTAGCTCCTTGGCTTAGGTTTGTTTTATTATCTGTTCTTAATTTAATATTACTGTTCTTTCTTGGATGACCTGGTTTTACTTTATTTTCACTTGCCAGGTGTGTTGTCCTTTCAAAATAAAATGCTTTAGGGACCAAATGGTTTGCTTTAGAAAAGGTCTCGTCGTGTTCGGGTCAGTTCTGGATTCATCTGCAGAGCAGGAGGCCACAAGCGTTTGTATTCTTCGTCGGGCACGCGCGTTCTTTCAGCTGCGTTGTCTGTGCTGTGGTAGATGGCACTTAGTGTTTCAATCAGCCGTATAAATGCATTTTCAGCTGTTTTGTGCTTCAGACTGAGGTACTTCCTCTCTTTGGTTTGACATGAAATTCAACCATTTGTACAACTTCATCAGATTGCTCAACACAGACGCGCGTTAAGACAGCTGTTTAGTCGCTCCCCATTTCTCTACACCAGCAGATATAAGAATGTTGCTTGAATTTAACCAGAATAGTTTTCCTCTTTAAACCTGTTTTTTTTTTTGTTCCGAAGGCGTTTTCTGATTTAAAATAAAAATAAAACCAGTCCACACTGAGTGAAGATGACTGCACAGTTATTTTACAATGACCTCAACTGGGAGCTTTAAGTTCCCCTCTCTTCTTTTTTTTTTCTTTCTATAACTGGACATTTTTCTTTGAAAGTTTTATAAAAACAGGTTTTTTGTCCTTCTGTTACAGTATTCCTTAAACAAATGTTAAGCCGTTTTAAGAACAAGTAAAGGTAAATGAAAAGAAATAATAAAGTCTAAAAGAAATACTGTAAAAGTGTTTAAAATTAACTTGTCATCCTTTGGTCAGATGTGAAGCTTTAATTTGCAAAAGTTTGTGTATATGTATTTCTTTTTCTTCTTTTTACGCCTTTTGAAAAWTCATCCTGTAACCTCTGATAAATGCACTATAATAAAGAGTATCTATTATACAATGTTGGTTTCTTTATTGGTAAAAGTTAAATGTGSAGTATTTATTTTACAGATAAATCGTAGCAATTTATATCTTTCATYACCCTGTCAAGTTGTTGCTGTTAATTGCAAATTATCACATTGTAGGAATATCAATATGAACTTAAACTTGTAATTCAAAGCTTAGCATTTAGTGAAGGAATCACCTTCTGAATTATTAATCTGTCAAAYTGAGAGGTGTTTAGCCACAGTCACTTCAAACAAGCTCAGCATAGAGCATCTTTAAAGATGAGAGTTAATCATTTTTGTGATTTTTGTTTTTAAGGTCAGTTAGCCGTGGCAGCCATYTTTAATTGGAGTGACTCCAAAAGTAAATCAGTTGTACACCCAAAGACTGCTTCCTAAAGTTTTCAATAAAATTTTGTTCTGTGGTTCAGCAACCTTGAGTTGTGCTTCCTCACTGGCTCCAACAGAGGGCGCACTTGTGATTTTGAATAACTTGAACTTGAAAACAAACAGGTGGACATTCAGGAAAAAAAA